AAATGAGCTCAGGAAACAGAAGCCAAAGAAGGGCCTTGGAGCTTAAGGGAAGGAGAGCCAAGTACACTCGTAAAGATGATTCAAGTAGATTGCTCCAGAGAGTGAGAGCACGCCAAGGACTCCATATTTTTTTTAACAAATTGTCAACATTTTTCTCATAAACATTAAAGTTGGGGCCCTCTGCCTCAGGGGGTGAAGGTTCTAGAGGCCTCTTGCATTCCCAGGCTGTGGCCTCTTCCTCCCTCTTCAAAGAGCATCTCCAGTCTCGGCTTCTCTCATCACATCACCTTTTCTCTGATTCTGCCTTCTCCTTGTCCGTCTTTCAGGGAGTTGTGACTATATTGGGCCACCCCCCTTCACTTATTTACATCTGAAAAGTTCTTTTAGTCACGGGGGGGGGGGGTAACATATTTACAAGTTCTAGAGATGAGGACTAGGATGCCTTTTTGGGCTCTATTATTCAAACCACCTACCTTGTGGCTCAGTGAACTTGGAAAAGCAGCCTCTACTGTGAGGGGCCCCATCAGCTCTGTGCCCTAGACCTTCTGCTCTTCTCATAGGACACCTGAAATGTCAGTCACGGCCGTCAGTCAATCCTATAGGCTGAGAGTGGCCTGCTGTCAACCTGTGCATTAAATACTGGTAGAGATAAATATTTTGGAATAAAATAGTATGAAAAGAAGTTCTAGTTTCTTCCCACATACTATTTGATTGTTTAGAGTAGGGGTGTCAAACTCATTTTCACCAGGGGCCACATCACCCTCATGGTTGCCTTCCAAGGGCCAAAATAATTTTAGGACTGTATAAATGTAACTACTCCTTAACTGTTGGGAGTTGAAATTATATTCGGCCCTTTGAAGGAAACCGTGAGGCTGATGTGACCCCTGGTGAAAATGAGTTTAACACCTCTGCTTTAAAAGCATCTTCTGAAATACAATCATCCCAATTTGGTGATCAGTGAGAGAGATGGTTAATTTTATGTGTCAACTGGCCAAACATCAGTAGAGATATTGCTGCAAAAGTATTCTTTAGTTATGATAGACTTTTATGTCAGTAGACTTTGAGTAAGGCAGGCTACCCTCCATATTGTAAGTGGGTCTCATTCAATCTGATGAGGTCCTCAAGAAAAAAGACGGGGGCCCCCTGAGGAGAAATGAATTCTACCTCCAGATGGACTTAAGACTAGTATCAACTTCTGCCGAATTTCCAGCCTGCTAACCTGCCCTGAGAATTTCACACTTCCCCCAACCCATGTAATCTCAAGAGCTAATTCCTTAAAATCTCTCCCTCCCCACCACTCTCAGAGAGAAAGACAGAGACAGGTAAAGACAGATGGATAGTTAGATATAAATATATAAACAAACACACGTTCTACTGGTGGTGTTTCTCTGGAGAACCCTGATTAATACAATGAGTCAGAGAAGCACTTTCAGCTTATGGGAGGACATGATTGGAAGCATTGTAATAAACCTCAGGCTCAAGGGTAATATTAATCAATCTGAGCCCTGGCTGGTATGGCTCAGTGGATTGAGTGCTGGCCTGTGAACCAAATGGTCATTGGTTTGATTCCCAGTCCGGGCGCATACTTGGGTTGTGGGCCAGGTCCCTTGGTGGAGTGTGGGGGTGACTTTCCTTGCAAGTCCCCCCCTTGTGCCACGGATAAGAGTAAACATGACTGAGACATGGTGTGATCTGCTTGGGGAGCAGAGGTGGCCAGTTTCCCAGAGGAATAAGGCCTTGAGCAGTGGCAAGTTTTTCAGGGGAAAAAGGCCTTAAGCCCTTCCTCCAAAGGCTTTTATTGGATTGTAATACACAGGAATACAGGGCAGCAAGGATCAAATAGTAGATAAAATTTCAAAGAAATCTGAGGGCTTAGTCTGAGTCAGAGTCTGTCAGGAAGAGTTTTAGGGTTTCCTGCTTAAACCCTTAACATATGAATGAAAGCACTCTTAGCAGAGCAGATCTCACAGGTTTATCAGGAAGTCTTTGTGATGCCAGATTCCCCGGACATGCTCTAGCAAGGCAAGGAGCTGCACCCCTCCCCATCAGGTATTCAGGCTTTAAGGGATTAGAGCCAGAAACCGATTCTCCCAGAGAACAAGGGGACTTGGGCTTTGTCAAAGCCGGAGGCGGGGGTGGGGGGGTGGGGGGGTGGGGGTGGGCGAGAGTCCATTGTTCCCTCTTTTTTGCAGCCTCCCTGAGTCATTCCATGATGGCCTCCTAAGTGGTTGTGTCTGGCCTAGGTTGCCCACCGCTGTGAGGGGTCTTACCCGTCAAGGACTTTCAACCGTGCTTTGGGGACAGGGAGGAAACTGAGGCAGCATTTGCTACCAGAGACAGGCTTTGTCTCCTGCGGCTCCCATCCCGGTGGTCACTGTCCCCTCCTTAGCCACAGGGGGTAGAGTTACAATTCCTAGAACCAGGCAGAGTGGTCCACAACAGTGGGGGTTGTGGGAGAGGCAACCACACACTGATGTTCCTCTTCCTTTCTTTCACCCTCCCTCCTCCTCTCTGAAGATAGATTAAATAAATAAATAAGTACATAAATAAACTGAGTCCCAAAGTAGCATAAAATCTAGGCTCACTTATACTTGCTTTAAAGTAGTTCTATCTATCATTAGGTGAACCTGAAATGTTGACTGGGCAGAAAGTATCACTACAGGGGCCTCCATTCTGTCAAAAACTACCTAACAGGTATTGGGAGTCAAAGAAAAATAAGAGATCTCCAGTTTATCTCTCTTAATGATCTTATCAAAGTTATTATAAAAACCAGGTGATAACAATGTTATAAATACCTTATTTCCTTTCCTACAATTACTTAATAATAATTAGTTAGTTAAAACTCTGACAGCTCTGAAGTTAAGAAGAGAGAAACCATGGCTCACTGGCTTCTGGGCTTGAATTAGACAGAGTAACACCACGTTGTTTCAAGGAAAAAACAAGAAGAATGGGAGGTGTATAATATTTATAATTGCTTGGCTTGGAATTTTGCCAAAAGCCAAGCACTAATAATTTTTGTCATAAAAAATGCCAAGGATGCTCTTAAATGAAAACCACTATGGTGACTTTCCAGGTCCGCATCCCATCAGAAAGTGATATTGCTCTCAAAGAGATCTACTTATATTTGAGCATTTGTGAAAAACTGACTCCTGAGATTTTCTGGATCTTTGCGACCAGTGAAGTTATGGGCAGAAGTGTTTGTGAATCCCTTAACATGAAAGGTGAGAAACATATATGTAAAACAGACACTTCAGAATTTTTCCAGAGCAGTTGGCTTCCTTGGGACCAGCACATTTATTGCTTCTAGCTTTTTGGAGGTGGCCAGAGGCGAGGGTCGAGGCGGGGGCGGGGGTGGGGAAGAGGAGGTGGGGGTCTGGACAGGGAGCAGAAGGAGGCATCATGCTTCAGTCACAGGGATCATTTCCTCCCTACAGACCTCTGAGGCTCACAGCCTCCCTATTGATGGTCTTGGCTTCCCTTCCTTTTGCCTTTTCAAATCCTTTAGTCTAAAATCTTCAGACTTTCAAGCCCTACGTCTTCTGTTTAGTTTCCTATTCTGCCACTTCCTGACAGGCAGTAACAGTAAGAAGTGAGTACAACTGTGTTAGTACCTAATAAATGTGGATCTATATCCTGGCTGTACAACTAGCCATCCTGATTATCTCAGTAATGTTGCACAACAAAGGTCTTAGTCAGCTTGGGCTGCTATAAGAAAATTCTCCCAGTTCTGGAGGCTGGAAAGTCCAAGATCAAGGTGCCAGTTGCAAGGTGCCAGGAACGCTGCGGTTCCTGGTGAAGGCCCTTTTCCTGGTTTAGGGACGGATGCCTTCTTACTGTATCCTCTTATGCCAGAGGGAGGGGGGCAGTGTGTGAGGCCATTTCTCAGTTATCTCTTCTTAGAAGGCCACTAACTCCATACACAAGGGCTTCACCCTCATGACCTAATTACCTCCCAAAGCCCCCACTACCAAATACCAGCCTATTGGGGATCAGATTTCAGCAAGTAAATTTGAGGGAGGGCACAAATATTTAGTCCATAAATACAAAGTAGCCCCGAACCGAGAGGCACAAAACAACAATTGATTCCCTTGCTCTCAGATCTGCAAGTCAGTGGCTCAGGTAGTTTGCAGGCTGCAGGTTCCAGGTTAAACTCAGGCTCCCACTATGTATGCCGATGCTCTCAGGATTAACAGCTGCCTAGGGCCTGAGTCTTGCCATGCGTATTTTATTTCACGGCCCTGGCTAAAAGGCAGCATCCATCAGGAGCACGTTTTCTCATGGCAGATGCCCAGAATGCAAGAGGCAACCTTAACCCATGAAGCACATTTAGGACTTCTGCTCACTTCGTACCTGTTAACATTCCATGGGCCCAGCAAATTGTATGGCCCAGTACAATACTAAAAATGCAGGCAAGTCTACTTTACACAGAGTGGGGAGGGGAGAGGGTATTGGCTGAATGATAATGTAAACACCTTCTCTGTACTTGAATACATAGCTTATTCTTAGTCCCAGTGTTCTCATGTCTTGTATAGAGTGATAATAGTAGCAGCTACCTTTAGGGTTAAGAAAAAAAAATACGGTCTATAAAGAAAATGGCACAGTTTCTAGAACATAAAGAACATTCAACAAATGTTATCTCATTATTAATTTCCTTGCACACATGTAGCAAGTGAGAAAATGGAAAAAGCAAGATGATAAGGACTAGAGAAGAAATGAAGGTTGACATGAAAGGCAGTACGATTAAATTATACATTTATAAAGAGGTGCAGGAGGGGGGATAGTTTGAATTTGTGTAAGTGGTCACCTTAGAATGACGGTCCGTCACCCACGTTATTATTAGTCACTGGACATTTGCTTCTACTCCTATACTATGCGTGAGAACTGAATGCCTTCATGTCTACAGAAAAGGAGGGGCATAGTGCAGCCCAAACCCAACATTTTGCTTGTCAGGCAGTTTGGCAAACACGATGAAACTATATACTTGAAGATACATAATGAGGATACTTACCTGGCAGAAGATATACCACGATCACGAAGGTGGCTTTCCGAGGGTGAGCATGTGCGGACCCTTGTGACTTCCCCATGTGCGGACCCCTGCGATTTCCCCAAACGTGGGAAACTCTGCTGTGCATTTGTGGTAGTGGGGGGCTGCATTTTCACTCTTCACCACACCAGGTAAAAAAGAAGAAAACTAGGTAACAAGGGAAAACGTTAGAGTTAAAACAAAAATATAAGCCATAATGAATATGTTTAAGTGAGCAGTAATTCCTAGAAAGGATCCGTAAGTTTGCAGAAATCCTACATTTTGAATGCTTTTTTACTGAAATGTTTTGGCTATTTCAGTAAATTGTATTGGGTTATGAAATTCAAAGGAAGACCAGAGACTCACTTTAAGATTACAACCAGAGTTACAGGGCTGCGGCAGAACGGCTCCGGTACTCCCAGCGCTGAGGTGATCACCCTGCAGTTGATGGGGTTGGTCCCCACACAGCCTCATTATGGAGCCACCCAAGTACATTGGGTTTCCTCACTTCAGCTGATGTGATTGCCACACGTAGACATGGTCTTGGTCTTGACATTTAATCTCCCAATTCTCCAGTAGTACTTCCTTCCATCCGATAAAACTGAGTTTAAAAGCTAAGAATGCCCTAGTTCTATTGAGCTAGAAAGTTGTCTCTTTGAGTGGCATTGAACTTCTCACCTTTGATTTTCATAATGGGAAGGTGTTGTATTTGCTTATCTCTGATCTGAGACCAGCTCCTTCCGAGAGTACTGCACATTTCCACGAGCAGCCTGCGCAGACAGCCCACCTAGCGGGTGAGAAGAGGATTCACCAGGGAGCCCCGTTTTCTTTCTGTGATTGAGCTCAGTCCATATTCCCATCAGTAGGTGACAGATCTGCCCCCCCGTAGAAGTGGGTTTCGAGTGTACACCTGTTGGGGTGCTCATTCCTCTCTCCAATGGATCCCTACTCAGCTGCCTGGTGTTACGCTTGCACTCCTTAAAGACCCAGAGGGCAGGGATTACTGTAACCGGGTGTCAGCTTTCTCCCTGTATTTGGGTGTCTGCTCTCTCCCAGTCAGGGATGTTGCTTGGACACTCCGATTTCTTGCTCTGGTCATCCTGCCCTGATAGCATAAAAATCACCATGTTCTCGTCCTTCTTCCTCTTTACAGCCTGGACCACAACTGGCTTTTAGCATCTATTTCTTGCATGTTTTTCTCTGGACCTCGTATTAGCGCCATCTTATACTGCAGGGAGAAAGTGTCTGCATGCACTCAGTTCCAAGTGGAAAGAAAACAAAGAGCAAGAAAGGACTGAAGAATCATCTTCCAGTTGTTCCTTGCAGCTGTTTTTCAATTGTTTCCTTGCTTTTGTTTATTCATTCATTTAACCAGTATTTATTGAGTACCTCCTATGTGAAAGTCATGGCAAAGGGCACTGTAGATACGAAGATGAGTAGGACCCTTTCTCTGTTCTCAAGGAGCACACAAATGAATAAAGGCTAACATGCAAGTTGTTTCAATTCAGTGCACACTTGCCATCATGGAGGCAAACACACACCTAGTTTGGGGGGATCAGAAAAGTTGTTTTCTGGAACCAGTGATTTCTAAATAAGTCCTGAAGCCCATATTGGCCAGATACATGGAGGTTTGGTTTGAAAAAGAGTCCAGGCAAAGGAAACAGCAGATGCAAAAGCCCAGATGCTGTTTTTTTTTCCAAAATTATAAGAGAAAGTTTATTTAGAAAGTTACAAAGGTAGCAGAAGTGAACCAGCTGGGCTGCGTAGGCTCAGGAAACAAGTTACAGAAGCAAAAGAAGGGCCCTTGGAGCTTAGGAGGGGGAAAAGCAAAGGTAACATGCCTGGGGGAAAGGAAAGAGAGGACGGAAAGGCGTGGGCTGCTCCCCAGACGGAGAGCACCGAAGTGTTTTCATTTCCATGATGCATTGTATATTTTTGTGGTCTGTCACGGCTCCTTCCTGAAAAAGGTTGAAGAGAAATGGAGAAGGCACAAGTGTGACGAACAGCTACTATGCTCAGGACACATCAACTTGTGATGTTAGGAGGGAGAGTGGCAAACCCAAAAGCTTGTTGGACTCTTCCTCCTTTTTCTTCCATTCTATCGTTGTTTCAAGACTTGCTGCCTTCACAGAGAGAGAGAGAGAGAGAGAGAGAGAGAGAGAGAAGCTCCTCCTACCATTATTCAAGCAGATCCACCTTTTAACCAGAATGGAAGATAATTCTGAGTGCGCCTTTTGGTACTTAATTTTTCTTATTTTGAAAACTATAATGCTGGCACATAGTTTTGGCAAATTGTATGTAAAAATCATTGCATCTGCTACTAACATTTGCAACCTAGAATCATTCCTTGTGACTGACATCCTTGGAGTTTCTGGCATTGAGCCTTCCTTCCGCACGCCTCAGAAGGAAGAGTCCTCCCACTCCTCTGCTGGGTCATGGCGACCCCCGCAGCTCCCACCTCCACATCTCCTCCATAACCCCTGCTGTTCCCAGGTGCAGCTGGAAACACCCAGAATTCCTACAAGGCTTTGTAACTTGTCCCCCAGAACTGAGAAGGGATACCAGTCCTATGTCAACCATGTCACGGAGCATGTCATGGGGAAAAGGGACATTTGTAGACTTTCCTGAATTCCTATGCTCCACTGGCTGTACCATTTAAAAATATTTTATTTATTTATTTTTAAAGAGAGAGGGAGGGAGGGAGAAAGAGAGGGAAAGAAACTTCAATGTGTGGTTGCTTCTTGTGCACCCCCTCCTGGGGACCTGGCCTGCAACCCAGGCATGTGCCCTGACTGGGAATAGAACCAGCGACACTTTGGTTTGCAGGCGGGCACTCAATCCACTGAACTACACCAGCCAGGGCAGTACTGTTTCTTTGAGGCAATGCATTCTAATTTGTAAACAAATTTTTGAAAGTCGGCTCTGCTCTCAAGTTCAATCAGTTTAACCTTCCTCACGAGTTAGATACAGAGAATAACTATACTGATAATGTCTGACAACTATTGAGGGACCACTACACGCACGGTATTATTCTGAGTTTTGTGGGTGTTAAATCATTTAATCCTTACATAAACTGTATGAGTGTATGTACTATTATTATAATCACTCCCACGTTAGGAGTGAGGAAACTGACACGGAGAGGTCTGATAACTTTCCTGAGGTAAATGGCTGGGCTGGGATTTGAACCCAGGCAATCTGGATCAGAATCTATGCTCTTAAGCACCACACTGAATCTCCTCTCCAGAAAATCCATCACAGATGATTTTAAAGAGCGGTATCTTGATAAAATATTATGTTGATAAAAGCACCAAGTAAAAAGAGAAACCTGCAGTACGCGAAGGGAATATTAGATATTAACTATTTCTAAATTCCAAGGAAGATGAAAACTTCTGTTTGTGTGTTATTTTAGCCCTTGTAATAATCACTAATAATATTGCAAATTTCTCGCTGTAGTTAAAATGATTAAAAAGTCTCTCCTGAATTGATTTATGCATATATATCTCTCATTACTTACTAGATATTCATTCATCTCAATTTGCCCTGGAGTAATGGCAACTGCCTACTAAAGAATTATCAATCTAAGTATGTGCGAATTACACAAACTATTTGCATAAGATATATTCCAATTGGTGTAGAATTTTAAAAAGCCCCGTATGAGTATACGAGACTACTGCCCATCATGTGCTTTTGGTTGTTTTGAATGTACGCTATGGTGGGTGAAACTGTGTTCGTTTCTGCCTCTGCAACCTGGAGCCAAATGACGGCCGCATCGTGAAGGTTCCACGGCAGTGTGCGTGGGCGTGGTTTATAAATGCCACGACTCGTTATAAGGTGCTGGATTCTCTCATCAAGGCCTTGAAAAATACTCTTCGTTTTTGATATTTAAAAATAATCTCCTCTCTCAAACTCAGTTAAAATGAGAACACATGCACAATTTTCCGTATCTGATAATGTCTGAAACTTTTTCATTGGTTGACTTCTTTCCACATGTAAGCGACAGAGACAGATTTACTCGGGTCTTAGGCTTTTGTGGTAAAGATATGTGGAGAAGGAGAAAAACCAGCCCCGTGGATATCGAAATGACATGCAGGACGCAGCAGTGGTCCCAATTCCCCAGCTGCTGTTGTCACTCTTCCACTGGGCGGTTGTCCCCTGGGCAAGGAACTCATCTTGCTTCTTCCTTGGGAGTTCACCATTTGGGGGAGGCAATGACTCTATCTCACTTTTTTAAACGATTACTGATTTGAGAGAGAAGTGAGAGAGAGATCAATTATTTACACATTCATTGGCTGTCTTGTATATACCCTGACCAGGGAAGGAACCCACAACTTGGCATATTGGGACAACGCTCTAACCAATTGAGCTACCTGACCAAGAAGGGCTTTGTGTCACTTTTGCAGCAACTAATTAATGATCTGACTCACTTTTCCCTCCATCTTACAGTTCCTTATGCATAGTGAATACTGTCTTAGACTTCAGCTTATTGCCTTTTCTCTGGGGTTCTCTGCACTTCCCTGCTCTCAAGCACCAGGAATGGGCTAAGTGGTGAATTGGTAGGGCAATTGCCTGGGGCAAAAATCTTTAAGGGTTACTATCCCATCTTTTGAATAACTAAGAAGAGTGGTATCAATTTTCCCAGCTTTTCACAAGAGATTTCCTGTATTCACTAGTGAAATGTTTGGCTCTGATCTCTCTGAAGAAGATACTGGCACTTGTGTGGACATTTGCAACAATGCTCCTGTGCAATGTTGACCTCTGTCTGTTGTATGTGCAATACAAGTGGCAGGTCAGGAGGTGCAACTGCAGGCCAAGCCCCCCAACTTGGAGACAGCTAAGTGAGCCAGACAGTTAAGTGAGTCAGAACCGGTGTGTCCAGTTCTAACAAACTTTGCTGAAGCAGTTGAAATTCTGGTGTCAAAGAAAGGGGCATGGTGCCACTTACCAGGAAGTGGTTTTTCTTTTTTAATCATAAATTTGAAAACTTTTACTCCCTCTAAAACATTGGCTCAAAAGTTTGGAAAGAAAAACTAAAGTAGGAAGAAGAACGAACAATGGACAAGCAGAAAATAGTTAACTGACACAAAACCTTATGAAATGAAAATTAAAATAAGGGAGAAATTAACTATCATTTTTACATTGATTCT